ATCAAAAGTTATTTAATATTAAATATTATATATAATTTTAATTATACATTTTAATAAACATGAAATCTGATTGGCTAGCAGGTAGGTGGGTTCGAACGATTTATTAGTAAACCCTAATCAGCTGATTTCTGGAAGCCCCCTAATCTCGCATTCTAAACCTAATCATATTCCTCATAATATGGTTTTGATCTGGTTTTACGACATTGATGAATATTATTTTCGCTCAGATTTCATTTCAAATTACAACATAATCAATTCAATTTGCACAGCTCAAATGCTTAAGTTACATATGGAGAAAACTATGGGAATGGTGCTGCCGCCGTCTATTTCAGTCCTTTAACACCTTAACCTATTTCAATTTCTTTAGACAAATCATGGGATGTATATAGGTTTCATTTACTTCTCAGAACAGTGTGGGGTTTGCACAGCTGTTTCGCTTCCACTTCTCAAGAACAGTGTGGGGTTTCTACAGCTGTCTCGCATCTACTTTTCAAGAACAGTGTGGAGTTTTCACAGCTGTTTCGGTCTACTTCACCAGGACAGTATGGGGTTTACACAGCTGCTTTATTTCTCTAGTGTGATCTCGTGATTTTGCAGCGTTGAATAGCATCAATATATTGCTTCTTGCTGAGCAGTCACCTAAATTTTATTCTTTCGGAGAGAGGTGGGCGGGAAGAACCTTTCGATTACCCAGAAAATAGAGTTTCAGGCAACTACTAAAGCAGTAAAAGAAACACACAACTTCTCTCTTTGCATTCGTGGCTTACTTATACTTATCATTAGACTCGCAAGATCAGTGACCTCATCATCATGCAAAAAAAAAAAAAATCAATTATTCGACCATAACTTCATTTGGGCGTCATTAGGTCCATGATCATGAGGTCAGGTGATTCTCACGATAATATCCCTTCTGTACCTTCGTCACAGTCGGTCTAATTATTTTTGCTCAGATTTTATTTCAAATTACAACATAATCAATTCAATTTGCATAGCTCAAATGCTTAAGTTACATATGGAGAAAACTATGGGAATCTGAAGAGGATCATTGCCTGATAAGATGTTGACTAATTAAAATCCTATTTTTTCCAATGTATTTATCTGCATTGTTGCAATCGTTCTCAAATATAATAGCACTGCTTTTGATACCCAGCTACCTATGGCCATTATCTGTGGTAATGAAAGACCTGCTTTCATTGCAGTCGTTGCTCCCCCTATACGCAAACTGTGACTCGAATATCTTCTGCTACTCGTTTGACAATCGAGCTAATAGCCCCAACTGTCAATCTGTTATTCTTGTTTGACAAAAATGCTATTTTTCCTGCATTTTCTCTAACCTGCAAATATCTTTTCCATAACCTAACAGGACAAAATCTTGAGCCCGTTGGCTCAATCGGAATAAACTTTTTTGTGCCAGCCTGATCTGTCTTTGATCGATTTATACAGATCCATTTTCTTCTTTAAAATCATTTAAAGTAAGTGCTGCTAGTTCACCTGCTCTTCGCATTGTACGTAGGTCAAGTGCAACCAAAGCACAATCACAGGCCTATATCTTGTAATCAGTTACCTCTAGCAGGTTAATCACATAGTTCTTTAGTGCACCAACAGATAAAGGGTCACGTGGTCATGTGGCTTCTTTGTCTTTCGCAGCTAGATTTAATAACAACATTGCGAGCCTTTTTACTTTATAGTTTTTTGTAGGATCTGGTAAGTTGTGCGCACTATGCTGATTTGCTATTGCTGTAAGAACAAGTGTAGATTTCAATGCTCTTCCACGCATGTCTGACCAGATTAAGTATGCCAATACACTATTTTGTGAGGCTGGTAAAGCTACTAGTTTATATGCATTACAAAAATCAATGAAGTCATCCCAGATTACCTTTAGTTTGTGATCGTATAATGACTTTAGTAGCAAGATTTTATTTGCTTGCATTAAGAGCCTACTTAAACAATATCTGTATTGCTATTAATTTTCAATTTCGGTTGTTCAAGGGTTCTATTGAACCATTTAGGCTTGGGAGAAAAATTTCCTTTGGCTCCGGAAGTGGCATCTCCCGGTGTAGGTGGTGTAGGATAATCGGCCACCAGAGCTGCAAGCCAAATTGGTATAATTATTGTTGTAGTTGCTTTGCACTCTATCGCATGGTAAAACACACGATTTAACTGTTCTAAAGGAGCACACACGTAATTTATTTCTCTTTTTCAATTTTGTGTAAAGCAATCGATAGCTTCTGTGGTTGGACAGTGCTATCGTGAGTTGAACCTTACAAGGTAGATTATGTTTTCACTTGCCATTCGATCTATTGTATGTGGGCCCCATGCATGATCCAATAGTTTGAAAATGTCCTTTTTTAAACTCCAATCTGACTCATCATAATATCTTGTAAGCTCGTCTGCTAGGTTTTTTGCACTTGGTACCCACCAGAACTCGTATATCCAAATATCTATTTCGTCACAAAAATTCCAAACTTGCCTCATATACTCCTTTTGCCAGGGCATTTTCCCTCCTGACTCTATTGTTTTCCATATGAGTTTGTTGTCTATAAATACTGTGATCCAATGATAGGCCAATTCCTTGCTGAATGACTGTAGGTCCAACAATATTGCCTCAGACTCTAATTTTGCTATGTTTATGTGTTGATGCTTTCTTTTCTAATTTCTGAATGCTTTGTGTGCAAATAGTGTTGCCAACCAACTAGTTGTTGAGGCATCTACGAATAATAGGAGTATGTGTGATAGTTTCCATGTTGAACAACTATTTTTCTTTTCTAAGTTTTGAACTAACTACTTTGCATCATCTTTGGCACTTGCTGATAACTTTATCCTCTGATCTCATTCCCAGGGTTTGCGATGCATTGCATCGATCAGGCTGTAAAATTTCAAGCAACATAGTTTTGCTGGTACAAACGCTCTGCTCAAGCTCATCAGTATACTCATTATTGAATCTAATGACCATGCTGTGATCTTCTGTTGAGTTGTTAACAATTTCAGGGCCCGTTTTGCTGTTTTTATCTTTTTGTCTGGGATTATCACTAATGCTTTTACCGTATCCAGTATCAAGCCATAAAATTTTGATTGCTGGGTAGGTTTCCAACTTCTCTTGTTTGCTAAGATTAACCCACCTAGCTGCAAATCTTGTGCAATTATGTAGTCCTGCTGGTATTTTAGAACTGATAGGTGATCCAGATATCGTCTACATAGTTTCTACAATACATATCTATTGATTGCTAATGGCCTATTAAAGCTCACATCACTTTCGAAAAAACTTAGACTGCTTGGCTTAACCCGAATGGAAGGACTCGGTAATGGTACCAGTGCTTCTTGAACCTGAAGCCCAATAGTTTTTGTGCATTCCTCGTCATTAAAAGATGGTAATATCTATCCTTCAAATCTAAAATTATGACCCACCAGTCCTTCTTTACCATTTGAATAAATGTTTACAGCCCTTCGAAGTAGAATAATTTGTTGAGCAAAGTTCTGTTTAACCTTCACAGATCTATTATAAGTCTCTACTTTTTCAGCCCCAGTTTTGGTCTTAGAAAGATAGGGCTTACTTCTAGCAAATAATTTAGTCTTCGAGGTCCTTTCCCTACTTTGATTATAGCACCTTCTTCCTCTAGTCGTGTTAGTTCTGACTCCAACCAGATTTCTTGTTCTTTTGTCAATTGATACTACCATGGAGTGCTTTGCTATGATAGGTGAAGTAAACCTTTTGAAAATAGTGAGATACCATATTTAAGCCAGCTTAGAATTAGGGGTGATGCTTTTATCTTCCCTCTTCAATATGCAACTAATGATTGTTTGTTCAGACTTCTGACTACCGATTGTTTGGAGCTTGAGAGTAGTCAACTATAGTTTTTCCTTTGTATGTTGTGCTTTGTTGTTTTATGAGATTTACTCGGGTTTTTTTCAAATGGTCGTCTATTCGATCTTGAGGTGCAATTATTTGTGTAGTGCCCCAGGCCTCCATAGTTGTAATACGAGAATGTATCATTTCTTTCTCTTTTGGTACTATACAGTCTATTTCTTTCTCTTTCTGGTGAATAGAGTTTTTGTTTCCAGTGTGATCTGTTTCCAAACCCTAATTTCTCATAAAAATCGTATCCTCAAAAAACTTTCATTTACATACTTCCTTTTTCCTCGTTGTTTCAAGTTTGCAGCTTGTCTTGTCCGTTCAATCGTTTTCTTATATGCTAATAGATCTTCACTTTTGATTGTAGCAATTTGATTGCAACTTCCCAACTATATTCTCTTGCTATATTCAGTACTACTGTTCTATCAAGTGTTTTTGCCCTGACACTTTGATGTGACAAACGGCCTCATCCGCCGTTGAAGTGCTTAAAGCTAAATCTAAGTCATTCCCAATAGCACAAAGTGCGTTATACTCAAATTGGTCTCTAGACCTTTCAAACTTTATGTCAGGCCAGTTTTTGTGAAGTTCCAATCTTATATTTGATATTTCGACTCGCTCTGTTATGATATTTATATCCTCTCATAAGTGCCTGATTTCTTTTAACAATGCCTTCATATCAACTGCATCCTTAGACTCCCTTTTCATCCTTTTTGGTTTTCTCCTACGTGACTCATCATCACTAATGGGCTTAGATGACACACTAAAAGCTGGACTTATACTATGACAAATATTCTCTTGATTGGTATCTCCCTCTTCATGCATATTTTCCCATACTTCACCTTCCATATTACTACTTGAAATATTTTTCTGTGACTGGGCCAAGTTACTAGCGATCATGAAATGTTCAATTAAGTCAGCCTTACTACCTTCAGTACCCAGGTTCAGTCATGTACAAAGGTTTTTTAAAACCTCAACAAACATGTGTGAATGCCATACATCACTTTGATGTGCTTCTATTTCATCCGTTTGTTCTCTTTGTTCCATGTTTTGTTTTGTTTTTTTTTTTAAAAAATGTATAGTGTTTATAAAATTTGACATTGAATAAATTTTGTACTAAGCCGGGTATCAATAAGTTGATGTTTATGTTAGTGTGTTAAGTGTGTTAAAGAACCTTTCGATTAGCCAGAAAATAGGGTTTCGGGCAACTACTAAAGCAGCGAAAGAAAAGCACAACTTCTCTCTTTGCATTCGTGGCTTACTTATACTTATCATTAGACTCGCAAGATCAGTGACCTCATCATCATGCAAAAAAATCAATCATTCGACCATGACTTCATTTGGGCGTCACTAGGTCCATGATCATGAGATCAGGTGATCCTCGCGATAATATCCCTCCTGTGCCTTCGTCACAGTCGGTCTAATTTTATGTTCGGGGATGATGCTGAAATCGGATGATGCTGAAATTCTGACTTAGTTATTGTGAAAATTTAAAAATTTTTTGGGGTGTTTTGTTCAGCTTTTTTTTTTATAGTTCGATTAGAATTTAGAGTTAGTGTTTATAATAAAAAGGTATAGGTGGATTTTAGTAAGGTTTATATTTTCAAATTAAGACTCCAAATTTCAGCATCATCCGACTTCAGCATCATCCCCGACATTTTATTTCTTCGTACTTTTATGAAAGCTCCTCCAAAATTTGTGTTATATTCTTCTAATATTGGTTGTAGGAGTCTATCAACAATCTTTAAACTCTTTTCGTAACCCAATAGTGTGGGTAACATATTATAACTTACGCTCCATAATTTTGCTAATGGTTCTTCATAAGTATAAACTGTCAGACAATTCTGCAAAACAGAGACAATTAATAACAAATTAATTAAAAAGATAACCTTCATAGTTTTAATTGTTGATAATATATGATAGTAATGGTAAAATAAAGAAAAAAGAATCGATCGTGTCATTAACTAAAATGCATATTCTAATATTAGGCACATAAATTTATATCAAAAGTCTTTGTACATGGTCCCTTTTTTAAGTAACTTTACATATAGAGATCACGATGATTATCATCGTAATCTCAAAAGTTCATATACACGGACCCTATTTTTTAAGTAATCTTACATATATAGACTATGATTTACATATTTGCATGAATAGTCATCTTGATCTCTATATATGTTGTAAGTGGGAATGGGATTAAGTGGATTCGGAATTTCCAAGTTAAATTAAGGTTAGGGAGCATAGCAAAGGTTCGGTATGATTGGCTATATTTATATAATAATTGTCGATCATTTCAAAGCCCAATCATTTAGAAAAACGTGAGTTTTACGCCAACCTTGTGCATATGACAAGTTGTAACACCTGTTAAATTTACCAACAATGAGTTCAAGCAACTTGTTCAAAGAGCACTTTTATTTCATTTAAAACTTTGGGATCGCGTGGGATCGCATGTTTGACAACGTTCTCATAGAAGCTAACACTTCTTTTTTTTTCATTATCTTTTTTTTTTCTTTTTTTTTGTTTTTTTTTTTTACCAATTATTAATAGCATTAAGTGCCATTAAAAAGGCATCGCCTTTTTCTGTCTTTACTTCTGTTACATCATCATCATTGTCTTCTTGACTTGGATTCTCCGATTTTTTTTCTTGTTCTTCTTCTTTAGTGAATGTGTTGGGTCCTTTTTCCAAACATTTTACAAAACTATTAACATTATAGTAGATCCCTCTTTTATAATATTCTTTGTAGTGGCGGCAACAATATTCTATACTTGTATAACAACTATTATGATAGCCGTGTTTACAAATTAAAACTTCACCATCATTCTTCAAAATCTTGTGACAATGGTCACAGAGGTCAGGTTCTGGGAGAAATTCGAACTATAGCCCGTAGGAAGACACCTTATATCCACAATTTTGTCTATAGTGACCAGATAGTATTCGGGTATATTTTTTTTTCATGAAGTTTGCTTTTTCTGTGGTTTTTAAAATTTTTTTGCAGGTAATTTAGAAGAAAAAGCCCAGTTTTTTCAATTAAAAAGTTTAATGTCGAGGAGGTGTAAGGATATTGTCTTGATTAAAGAAAGGAGTTTCGCAATTTATCTTCACTTTGCATATCTGTAATGTAAAAAATTAGTGCTTTAAACTTTAAATAAATTAAAAAAAAAAAAAGTATATACATATGTATATACATACGTACCAATTACATAAGCCTGTCGTATGATACTTTTTAATGTTGAATTTGGGGAGGTTTGTGCACGAATCCTACTATGTAAATTTTCAACATAATATTCGTTAAAATTTACCAAAAAAAGTTTAATTGCTTCGCTAAATGGGTGGTTATTGTCTTGCCAGTAAAATACGTCAGATAAAAATGCGAGTGGTGCCTTGTTATAATTGTGGCGCTGCCACTGTAACATAAATATCCAGATTTGGAATATTGTCTCTAAGTATTTGTTAAATGAACCAGATCGAAAAAGGATAACATAAATTTCTAATGTAGTAGGAATCAAATTATCTAAAAGATCTAGAACCATACAGTATTCAATGTCTTTGCAATTATATCCGAACTTTTCTATAACCTTTTCTCTAATTTTATACCATCCTTTATGTGTTAATTCGAGTAACAAATTAATTCGCCATGGTCTAGGCTTTTTAGCTAATTTTTTATTTTTACCAAAAACGAAGTAAAACAAAACTTGAAAAAAAAATTATATTTCATTACTATCTGTTCTCGACTATTCAAAGAAATGTGTAATGGTCCTAATAAGGGGACAAATGAACTAATCTCATAAGGAATATTATAAGAAAAATTATTTAGATTGGTAATTGCTTTATGAATAAAAAGCTGGCCAGGCCAGTCTACTACAATAGAAGCTACCTGATTATACAAGTGTTTGGTATCCTTATTGATTTTCAATACAACTTGTAGTGCATCTATATAATCAAACATCGAATGCAAGTTTTTCTCTTGAAACCCAACTAACTGTATATTTTTTGTAAACCGCTCCTCCTTTTGCTCTATTATCACATCATCATAAACGTGAATTGTTAACAAATCTATTTGATCAAAACTATTTTTTTTAAACCACCAGATGCAATCCATTGTAACCTTCGTGTTCCATATGAAATAACAAATATTCCGGTATATTGGTGTTCTAATCTAAAACAAATGTTACTCGCATCAATATTAAGCAAATTGTAGATGTATATATTATTAAAACTAAGGGGAATTGGTGCATACGTCTTTACTGGTTTGCAGATACATGTTGCCATGTGCTTGGTCATTGATAGTGATACTGTGTCTGCGCATCTTTTCTCATGATTATCATGGTAGTCATCCAGATTATAGATATATAAAATATCCATTTAAAAAAAAAATAATAATAAATAAATAAATAAAATAAAATAAAAAAATAAAATAAATGAATAAAAAATAAATACATTGTATGTAAAAAACTGCCGAATGTTTTGAGGATACTCCTTTACAAGTTTTTTTTTATAATTGTTTATTGTTTCATAGCATGCGGAGACACCCAATTTATGCAATGTGTTAA